GAAGGGAAGTCCAGTGGTTCTGCCCATGCTGCCCATCAGGGGAGCCCAGCAGAGCATCCAATGTACACGTGCACATGGGGCAGAAGAGGGAGCCACCCACCTCGTTCTTCTCCAGGCTGCATTCAGACATCACCTTGTCCCCCTGCTCCTGGAAGGTGATGATGATCAAGGCCACAAAGATATTGAAGAAGAAGGGGAAGACCACGAAGTAGACCACGTAGAAGATGGATAGCTCCATGTGGTACCCAGGTTTTGGGCCGTGCTCCTAATAGGTGGCGTCCGCAGAGTGTTTCAGGACCCTGCACCAAGGGGAAACACCAAGTGTCAGGGGGACCCCTGAGGAAAGAGCCATGGGAAATTCAAGACCTGTATCACAGGTGAGGCTTGCATATCTGAGCCCAGAGATGGCAAGAGGAAGGGGATGCTCAACACTGTGGGCCCCAGCCCGCTCCCCAGGACCGCAGTCTCCTGAGGTAGACTACCTTCCCTATAGAGCTTGTTCTCAGGGCTGTTGGAAGGCCATCAAGGGGAGGTCTCCAGGGACCGGAGGTCCTGACCCCAGGACAGGTGGAGGCCCAGGAGTTCTGCCCTGCCCTGCTTACTCCTGGCTCACACCTGCTCATGCCCAGCTTACCAGTTCATACCCAGCTTCACCTGCCTTCAGGAAGCCCTTAGCTCCTGGCGCAGCATTGATCCTACATTCTGAGTGGTGGTCCTCCCGGCCGCAAAGGAAGCCCCCAGTCATCCAGTGTGGCACTGAATACATACATTCCTCTGTCTACCCTTAACTGAGGCCAGAAGGGTAGCACAGGGAGACACCAAATAGACCCATCCTCCCTCTAGCCTTCGGCCACTCAAAAACGATTTTCAGGAGATCACTATGCTGTGTACTTTATCTTAATCTTGTCCACTTTCCAGGTTGCCCACTCCTAGAGGGCAGAGCCATGTCTTACCTGGTGGGTGCAAGAGCCTATGGTGAATTTGCTGGAAGACTAGAACACAAACGGATGCAGAGTTTGAGACGCCCTGTCCAAGCTGCCCCTCTGCTCTAGCGTGATCTGCTACAATGAGCCAGTGAGCACTCACATGGGCCACCCTTCTGTGGACACTGTGAACAGTGTCAGCAGTAATCAGAACACCTGTACCCTAACCCGTACCCTAACCCGTACCCTAACCCTACCCCTAACCCCTAACCCTAACCCTAAACCCTAACCCTAACCCGTACCCTAACCCTAAGCCGTACCCTAACCCATACCCTAACCCTAACCCATACCCTAACCCTAACCCGTACCCTAACCCTAACCCGTACCCTAACCCTGGCCCGTACCCTAACCGTAACCCGTACCCTAACCTCTAACCCGTACCCTAACCCTAATCCGTACCCCTACCCTAACTGGTACCCTAACCTTAACCCTAACCTGTACCCTAACCCTAACCCTAACCCCTAACCCTAACCCGTACAATAACCCATACCCTAACCCTAACCCGTACCCTAACCCATACCCTAACCCTAACCCGTACCCTAACCCATACCCTAACTCTAACCCATACCCTAATCCTAACCCATACACTAACCTGTAGCCTAAACATAACCCATACCCTAACCTTAAATCCTACCCCCAAACCATAAATCCTATCCCTGACCCTATCCAAAACTGTAACCAAAACCCTGAACTTTAACCCCTTTCTTATTTTTCCCTGGCCTGGAGTTTCCTTGTTCCCAACCATGTGCATAGTCTCCGTTCCATGGAAAGTTCATCCCGCTAAAATATTTCTGAGCCTCAGTTTTAACTCTGCACAGCTCAGTCCCATTCAGAATGGTTGCCTTAGGTTCTAGGGCTTACCTGTAATTAAAGCTCCCAGGTGTACCCATGAGGATTACTCCTGCAGCCCAAGTCGTCTCGGTCCTGGAAAGGCAGTCCATTCTCCTTCAGTCTCAAAGCACATTTTTGTTGGATAGGGTAAGTTCTTGTGGGCCCAAGAGCCCCCTCCCAAGACCCAGCTTTTCAAGATTCTTGCCCTGTTCCCGGTTCCTGCCTATCTGGACCTCCATATTTTGTGCATAAGCAGTAGGTACCTCCCCAGCCTGCCAATGTCAGCTGGGGTCTCTCAGGCCTGTGGAGGACAACCTGGTCCCAACCCACCTGCTGGTCACCTGGCTGTTGGGATCAAAGCCCCACAACTATTTCTTTGGCAGCGTTTTAATATGGTGACTAGCAGCCCCAGGACGGTCCGCCTGTTCGATCCCCAGCTTTGTCAGTCCTCACAGGTCTATTATATGGAGATAACAAGTTATCTAACATTTAATCCGCTGCACGGGGCAAGGAAGTCCACTCTCCTCCAGCTCAGCCTTCAAAGGAAAGAGGTACATTTGAGTTACTCTATCTACACTTGGAAATGGATAGATTCCATGTACCCCCAACAGCCCGCTCCTGAAACCAGGCTTCTCCTGAACTTCTCACTGTACAGATCCCTGGGTACATCCCTGTGTGGGACGTGTCTGTGCAGTATGCAGTGATCAACCAGTTTTGTGTGTCCAGGGCCCTAAAAGCCAGTGGAGTTCCGACCTCCTCAACAAAGTGACCTTCTGAAAGGAGGGGGCACACCCCTGAAAATCGTTCCATGGTGGCAGATTTCCACGTTTGAACTGATTGCACACTGGGGATGCTGACTTGCACAGCAATCAGTGCTCCCAGCTGTTTCATTGAAGGGTACCCCAGCGAGTCTGTGGAGCCCCATAATGGCAAGGATGTGCAGTTTCCTCCAGCTGGGACTTTAGGGGGAATATGTGCATTTGGAATTAGGCAGATATCAGGTGCTCCAAGCAGCCCGCTCCTAGGACAGTGCCTCTCCCTAGAGCTGCCCTATTCCAGCTCCCTGGCTCCCCAGGTCTGCCCAGCTTGTGCACGCACACCACACATCCTTCAGCCTGCAGAGGGCAGCCTGAGCCCCACAGGTCTGTGGAATCCGTCTGCATACCTCCCGGGGAAAGGGTTACACCCCTGAAGATCTCTCTCAGCAGCACCTTTAGACTGACAGCAGTCAGACCCCGTTTGGACCGGCTTCCTGAAGGGGCTCTGGGTCTCTCTTCTTAAACACGGCCCAGACAATCCCTCACTCTCACCCGCCTCTTCCAAGGGGCTTGACTTCAGGTCCATCTTGTCTGTATGGGGATGGCACACCACGTCTCCACTGGTTCGTGTCTGTATGGAGGATCTTTTCCACCCTCTCACGTTAACTGCCCTTGTGTCACTGGGTCCCAGGGGAACCTC